GAGCTCCACTTCCCATCGCCACAGCCCTGCTCCTTGTCCCTGCGCCCGCCCGCCCGCCCGCCCCCCAATGAAACTTCCGTTTCCCACCATCCCCGACGAGATGCCCCGAAAGGGTGCCAGGTCGCCGGCCGCGGCCGACGCCCTTCCACAGCCGAACGCCACCTGTCTTCTTCCCCCTCTTTTCCTCCCCTTGCCTCTCCCTCTCTCCCGCTCTTCCTGCTTCCTCCCTTTTGCCCCTCCTCCCCCACCGTTCTCCTCCACTCTCACCCCATTGCGCGCTGAGGACGGGTCGCGATGGTGCGTCTTCACAGCCCGCGCCTCCTCCCCTGCTGTCCGCGTTTGGCTGGCTAACCTGTGTCTTTCCCTCGGTCCCTCTCCTCCCACGTCGCCCCCCCCCCCCCCCCCCCCCCCCCCCCCCCCCCCCCCCCCCCCCCCCCCCCCCCCCCCCCCCCCCCCCCCCCCCCCCCCCCCCCCCCCCGTGGTCTTAGCCGCCACGCTCACAGGGCTCGAAGATCGCCGCACTCGCGGCCAACATCCAAGTGCGTCACGTTCCCGACATCCCGCCACCCCTGCGACTGTCTGCCTTTGGTAACTCACCGCCCCCCCCCCTCCCCCCCCCGCCCTCCGCTCATGTCTCCCCTCGCGCGGTTTCCACAATCATCGCCACCGACAAAGGTGCCGATGGGCCCCCCTCCCTCGGCACGCCGGCCTACCCCAGCCGCCTCCTCGTCCGGAGACGCGGCCGATGAGCAATCCACTGGCGGATCATCCTCCGGATTTGGGAGCCCGCCCCCTGGCTTTGGTGGCCCGCCTCCCGGCTTCGGCGGCCCGCCCCCCGGGATGGGTTCCCCCCGGCCGGCGACCACGGTCCCTGCCGCCGCTCCGAGCACTGCAACCCCTCCGGCTGCCTCCGGCGAGGTATCCCCCCCCCCCCCCTCCGCTCCTCTTGCAATCACCATTGCCCCTTTCGCGCCTTCCCCCGCCTGCCATCCCGTTCCGATGTCTGATGCATGTCGGCCCCCCCCCCCCCGGGGGCAATCTCCTGCTCCCCAGTTCCAGCCGCTGAAGTCGGTTGCCCGCGGCCGCGCCGCGGCTCCCCGGCGCCGCGCTCCCACCATGCCGCTGCGTATCTACTGTGCGTCGGGCTACAAGTCGGTGGTCCCCTCCTCGACCGATACCATCCAGGATACCATCAAGTCCATGATTGAGAAGCTGGAACTCGAGGCCGAGGCCAAGCGCGGCGCCAAGTTCTCCCTCTATGCGGTGGATCCCTCCGGCAAGGAGGAGAAGCTTTCCTCCTCGGTCTCGGCGGCTCCCACCTTTGCGGACATTGCCGGCCGCGCGCCGGCCGGTTCGTGGATGGTGTACTTCCGGTCGGAGAAGGAGCGCCCCGCGCAGGCCACCCGGCCGGACCTCTTCACGGGCGGCGCGTCAAGCAGTGCGGCCCCGATGCCGATGCCGAAGATGGCCGCCCCGGCTACGGCTTCCGGCTTCGCCAACCCGCCCACGACGGCCCCGGTCCCGGTCACCAAGCCCACTCCGGTTGCCGAGCCGGCCCCGGCGACAGCCGCGGCCTTTGCGGCGCCCCCGGCGTCGGCGGCGCCCGCGCCCGCGCCATCGACCGCGCCTGGGTTCGAGGCGCCCCCGCCGACGGCGGCCTTCGCCCCCCCGCCCCCGACCGGCTTCGGGGCCCCGCCTCCGACCGGCTTCGGGGCTCCCCCCCCGCCAGCCAAGCCGGCTGGCCTGCGTATCGATACGGCCGCCGACCCTGACGCCCAGCTTGACGATGGCAATGAGGACAGCGAGGAGGCTCGCCTTCGGCCGACCACGCCGGCGGCCGAGATGGATGGCGTGCAAATTATCCCCGCCACTCCGGGCGGCCATCATAGCACCCCGTCGCGGCGCTTCAACACGGCCACCATCGACTCGGTGGCCCTGGCCACGGTGGCCATCCTGGTGGACAACATCGTGTGTCATGTGTTTGTTCGGCCCGACCTGGCTACCATTGCCATTATGCCGACCGGCGAGTTTGGCAATGGCACCGTCACCTCGCCGCTTTACATCTCCGCGCCGCAGATCTTCGCCATCACGCCCCTGGTCACGGATGACTCCTCGGGCCGCACCGAGTTCGAAGTGGCCTTCCTCCAGGCTGGCCGTCTGTGTGTTTCGGTCTTCTCATACCTGTGCGTGGCTCTCTTCCCTGTGTGTTTGGTCGTTGTCCGTGGTTTCCCATCCGGACGCCCTTTCCATATGCTGACTCCCTTCTCTTTCTTTCTTTCTCTCTCTCTCTCTCTCTCTCTCCTCTCTATTCCTTTCTCTCTCTTCTCTTCCCCTCTTTTTCTCTTCCCCTCTCTTCCCTTTTCTTTCCACCCCCCTGCCTTTCTCTCGCCCCGGGTCTCGCCTCCTCATAGTGCCGATTCCGATGCCGAGGAGCATCACACCGCGATGCACCAGCTCGCTGATGGATATGTTTGCCGGCCCCTGCCGGCCAGCCGGCCCCAGGTCTTGGTATTCATCGACCCGACCACACGCAGCGCCTACGATGCCACGATGCGCCTGGTCCTGGAGTGGGCCGGCTACAGCCATGTGCTGGTGACCGCGGCCCCGAGTGAGGCCTACCACAAGGCACAGTCCATTTCCTTCACCTCGCTGGCCAGCCCGTCCGCCTCGCCGGGGCTTGCGCCGATGGATGCCGGGTCCGATGCCACCCCCCCAGTTGCCGGGATCATTGTCATCAGTGACAGCATCTCTCTTGCCCACAATGTGGTCAATGGCTTCGCCTCGCGCCCGGATGCCCAGGCCATCTTGGCCAATGTGCCCTTCGGCTTTATCGGCGCCACTGGCGGCCCGCAGAATCTCTGCGAGCCCGCCCGCCGGGCGCATGGGGCCATCGCCGCGCGTGACATTGACCGTGCGGCGGTTGCCCTGGCCCGGGCCATTGGCGAATCGGCCAACTGGCATGGCGATGTCCTTTCCGATCCCAGCAGCCGGCCCTTCGATGCCATCTCCGTCACGCGGTCCGAGCCGGTCGCCGTGGCGAGTGCCCCGGCCGCCGGCGGCAAGGCGGGCGACGCGGCCACCCCCGCCGCCTCGGGGCCTGGCACGGGTGCTGCTGGTGCTGGTGCGGGTGCTGGTGCGGGTGCTGGTGCGGGTGCTGCTGCTCCGCCGCCTGTGGCCCGGCGCAGTGCCCCCCCGCGCATCTTCGCCCTGGCCGGTGTCATCATCACGGCCGCCGAGCCGACCCCCGTGCAGCTGGCCGAATTCCAGGCTGCCAACCCCAAGCCCAACGCCAATCCCGGCCTCATGCGCCGGGTCTTCCCCTTCTTCTTCAGCTCCAACGCCCCGAAGGCCCGGGCTCCCACGCCGATTGCCATTACCGGGCAGGTGTTGACCGGCGTGGCGCCGGCCAGCGCCATCCGGCCCGCCGATGACAATGGCCTCTTTGCCAACCCCGCCGGCACGGTCACTCACCTGCCGGCTTTGACGGACTTGCGCCTGGTCGAACGTCAGGCTGGCAAGAAGAAGTCCTCGTCCACGGTGACCGCCGGCACGACCGACGACTCGGCCACCGCCGTGACCACCCTGGCCAACCCGGAGTGGACCCCGAATGGAGATGCGCCCCTGCCCTATGCGGCCATTCGCATCCTCGTGGACAATGTTGCCCCGGTGCTTGCCCGCATGCCGCCCCGGTACCTGCAGACCTTGGAGCTCGGGGCCGAGGTGGTTCCCTCGTTGGAGGGCACCTTTGCGGCGATCGGCGACAAGCTCCCCTCCTCCGGCGAGGCCGCTTGCAAGCCGTACCTCCTGCCGCTGACGGCCTCGGCTCCGCCGACCGTCGAGCAGTGGCTGGCCCAGCGGGCGGCTGCCGGGCACAAGCGTTCCCGCTCGCGCGATGCCGCCGAGGAGCAGGCCTACTTCCAGAAGCTGACCCAGGGCCCGCGCGGGGGGCTCCTGACTCAGGTGATCCGTGCTCCTTCGGCCGGGGCTTCGGGCGATGCGCTACTGGATCTGGCCCGGCTGCTGCCGGCCCCGGCGGTGGCTGGCATTTTCCCCTCCCTACTGTCCGCTGGCCGGACCGTGTCAGGCGTCACCCCGGGGGCGTACCCTTCTCCCGGGGCCGGGATGCTGTCGACCGTTCTCACCGAGGCGCCCTTGCCGGCCAAGGTGTCGCCGCTGGCCAGCCGGTCGGATGCTGTGCCCGATGAGAACCCCGCCTACTCGAGCGCCATTCGCATGCCGCGCATGAGCGACAAGGTCCGCACCTTGGGCCCGGCCACGGCGGCCGGGGCATCCAGCACTTCGGAGTCGGACTCCGATGCGGCGGCGGCCGGGCAGATTGTCACCGCGGCTCGCTTCGAGCCGGACACGCAGGGCTCTCCGATCCCTGCCTGGGGCACCTGCCATATTGTGATCGACTATCAGAGCCACCCCATCTCCAAGGTGCATTTGGCCCTGCACCCGGGTCTGCTGCGTGTCTTCCGCTTGAGCGCCACGGTCTAAGCCGCCGCGCGCCTTTCCTTCCCCAACAAAGGCCGAGCCCCAGTGACCGGCTTTTGATCATGCCTGCCGCTCTCCTCGCCCGCCTCTCGCGCCCCTCCTTCATAGCCGCGCGGCAGTTGGGCCACTCCCATCCCCCCCCCCCTCCTCTTTTGCCACCCTTGGCGTGGGTCTCTGCGTGTCTCCGCCGACACTCATCCAGACGGCGAAGTCCGAGCGGCATGGCGCGCCCAGTTCCCGGCGTGCCTCTGGGCCAGATCCCGCCCTCTGTGTCGCTTGTGCTGTGTCTGTGTGCTGCAGAGGACGCCCATGCTCGTGCTCCTTGCGCGCCCCCGCTCAAGATGTGGGCGAGGGCCTTCGTCCCATCCCCCCGCTCTGTGTGGCGATCGTACCCATCCGCTGCTCCTCCAAGTCCCCCCCCCCCCCCCCTCCCCCGAATAGACAAGATACCCCCAGAGCGGAAGCCGGGCTATTGCCAGCGCCCCCGGGGGGGGGGGCCCGGGCGCCGGCGGGGGCCGCAACCGCGGGGGGGGGGGGGGGGGGGGGGGGGGGGGGGGGGGGGGGGGGGC